TTAAGTAATAAAACAGCCCTTCGTTTTTATAACCGAGTCTGGCATTTTCGACAGCGGGAACTGACATTTTTGATGGAAATGTGGATATCTGTCGAGGACAAAGTCTACGTATGTCTGAAAGTTGGACCCAATGTTGGCATTCTCTGAATGCACGTTTCCAGTTAACGCCAAACAAACCCGATCTAGCCCGCGTGTTGGTCCAGCGCATCTAATGACTGACCGATCTCAGGGACACTGCCATTGTTCAGTGACGTACACACCCCACGACTGCGCACGCCACTGACTACCTGCTGCCAAGGTCATCTAGGGGCGCTTCTGCTCGCATTCAGCATTCGGCCATCTGGCGAAATCTGCCAGCTGCGTCATCCATCGAGTGCGATCGATTGTCTCTCGGCAGGCTCGCAGGCCGCCTCCACTGTCCAGGGGCCACCAACTCGAGATGCGTCCCTGATGACTGACTGTCCACCCGGTAAACAAGAAGAATCAGGGCCTTCCCACATAGCTCGTGCCGATTCAGTTAGTCGTATCTCTGGTTGCAACCAAATCACTAACCAGGGTTAGGTTTGAACATGCGTTTTCTTAAATATCCTTGATATTATTCATGTGAAATCTTTGCTAACCATATATCCCGAGACAGCCCAACCTCTTTATCTTTTTCAGAGGAAGAAACTGATCAGTTGCTGCTACGGAGGCAGACAGCGTACCTGCCTCCAACATCTTCCGTCCACCGACTACCAAGGAGGGTAACTTTTCATGAGATATTGGGTCAAAGTCACTTATGCCGAATTCCCTCAATAGCGAAGGCGGAAAGTAACTCACACAACAGTCTATCGCATTTCGTGGGGGTGGGCTACATTTGCTTTTAGGAGTGGGACACTATAAGGACTTGGTGACATCTGTCCTAATTCATAGTGCCAGGTCCGCCATCCACACTCTAACTGTTCCTGTAGCCTGTCGCCTCAGTAAGTGGTACGTGTGCCATTCATATTAACACACAAGCTCCCCGATCTGCGATCTTACTAGCGTTGCTCACTACGTCAGCAAATGGTCATCTCCTTGCTAAACTTACCTCGAACACATAATTAATTTCCTGCAAAGATAAGCTAGGGATTGTTTTATCACTCCACGTGTTGGCCACTTTACATCCTTTCGCAGTTTTTTTAAAAGTAAAAATGATAGGTCATATTTATTAGCCATGGGGACACCTGGCGGTGAGAACATCTCCACTACGTTTAATTCTTCTCTAGTATCATATCCGCTGGCGACAATTATTGCTCCCAAAGCCTTGCATTACTCCCGAAAATGAGCATCTGCCTCGTAAAAAATAACTGGTTCATACATTTCATTCATTGCAGAGGTAAACACATCGTTAACAATCGGTCGCCGTAGGTGTTGGGCACTGCACACGCATTTTTCGTTTTGAAAAAAAACGAGAAAACAGCTTACACTGCGAGTCGTTTATTTCTTAACATACGAGTCATAGAAGAAACACCAAGAAATGCAGAAGTTTACAGGCAAATGCCTGCAGCTCTAGCGATGTTTTCGAGCGTTTTGAGTGGTTTCTTCGACGACCAGATCTAAGATGTCAAGTCGCTGCTGACATCAGCTGATCCACGCGGTGTTGTGAAAGTCTCCACCGTGTTGCCTGATCCATACCGGCAGCCTGCAAATTTTAAATAATTCCAGTGAATTTCTTTTTTCATAAATATCAAAATAGACAAAATTAGCATACGATTTGCACGATACCGCTTAGACAAAAATTTATTTCAATAAAACACAGAGCAGACAAAGTAAGCTTTAAACGCAGTATCTACTGAAGAGGCTTTAACCATTCGGCTGCATAATTCTCGTAAAAATCTACTTTAATAAGCAGACGATTTGCACTACAAACGGACTACCATCAGCCCTAACCTCGTTGTGTTTACGAAACGCCAGGCAAAGTCACATTTTCACATGGTTGCCATTACTAGGGATGTCTTAATCTTCCTCATAAAAAGGGATTACACAGAAAAGGCCATGGAATGGCATGAAAGAGAGAGGAGAGTGGAGAAGGAATGCAGTCAGTGTAGAGCAAAGAAGGAAGAGGCGTCATTACCGAGAGCAAAGATGGCGTCGTCGGTGGAGGTGAGAAGAGCGAACACAGCCCTACTTCACTCCGTTGGTCACTGCGAATGCCTCTGAGACAGCACCGTTGTCCGTGACTCGCGCCATCATACCGTCGTGCAGCTGACGCACCATCTGAGTGAATCGCTCCGGACAGCCGAATTTCTGCATGATCTTCCATAGTCTTTCACGATTCACCGTGTCGACGGCTTTCGTCAGGTCCACGAAGGTAGAGTACAGGTGGGTCCGCATCTCCTGGCACTTCTCCTGAAGTTGGCGGGCGGCGAAGATCATATCCGTGGTCCCACGATGACGACGGAAGCCGCATTGGCTTTCCGGCAGAAGGCCCTGTTCGAGATGGTTGTTGAGGCGGTTGAGCAGGATGCGAGCGAAGATCTTCCCGGCGATGTTCAGTAGGGAGATGCCGCGGTGGTTGTCGCAGACTTGGCGATTCTCTTTTCGCTTGTATAGGTTCACGATAGTTGCGTCCTTGAAATCTTGCGGGACTTCACCTTGACGCCACATCTCCTGGAAGAGCGCAGTCAGGTGATCCATCAGTAGGGGACCTCCGTGCTTGACGCCCCCTGACACACACAAAAAACACACAACCACACACGCGATAGTTCGACCATCGATTTCGATGATGTCCACCGTGTGCCCCACATCTGCAGCAACAGTGGGAGCAGGGACGGTGAATTACACAAGGGTTCAGAGTGCCAGTAGACTTGCGTTGCATCTACCTACACTCTCTCCTCCTCCCCCGACTGAGCCCGGTGTCAAGACCAAGTCAAGAAGACCGGAGACGGGGGAGGCCGCAGATGGATGGCTTGGACGTATCCTCACTTTGGCGCTCCACTCAGCACCCCCTGGTCAACATTAAAAATAACCAGGAGCTTGACCAAAACAACAGAGATTGGAGGCTCACCCGGCCGACGCTGCCGCACCTAGGCGTGCTGCCAACGCCTTGCCGGATCTGACACTGTGGTGGGAGTGCCTTAGAGGCTACATTAAGAAGGAGCCATTGCAGCCTGACTCTCAGACCACCACCAGTCAAGGAGGAGATCCAAGTTATCCCGTCAGTTGGCAACATTCCAAGCCACGGCTTTTAGCGCACCATGATAGCTTCAAGCACGTCAGATTGTTTATAGTTAGGATAGGTGTGCTGAGTCGTTGACCTCACTCTCCCTTCCCATTCCCACACCGAGGCCACTGTCCGAGCCGGTCAGTAGACTGAAGTGGGAAATGGGCGCGGTGGCTGTCATGGTCGACTGCGCGCGCCACTTGCACGAACTGGCCTCCCATACACACATACACCAGGTGTTTAAACAGCGGGGGTTTAACGGCGCGCCTCTCACTTGCGTGAGTGGGCCGTTGAAGGTGCTGTTTCAGCCCGTCACCCAGCCCACCAGACCGCCACTAGGCACAAAATAAACAAAACGCGACGAACTGCGTGAACCGAGTGCAGGCGTCAATCAGCAACCTTCCTATCAGCGACGCTTAACGTGTCGGGATAGTATCACACTCATGTCGCCCGTGCAGCCGAGGCCGCATGGGGACCGGGTTGAGATGCACACTTCCCACTTGCGTGGGAGGTGGCAGTTGGGTGCTTGCGGTGGGTGAGTGTTGATGTGTGGTTTGATGGTGGTGGTGTTGGAGGAGGAGGAGGAGGAGGTAGGGCGGGAGGGTGTTGTGGTGTGGTGTAGCCGGCGGTTGACTACCGCAGGTCGTCGTGTATGCGCATGTGGCCGAATAGGCCATGCGATGCCTGAAAGTGCGAGAAGAGTGTGGGAAACTGAATCGAGTGAGGTGGGTATAGGTGGATGCTCCAGTCACTGGTTGGCCAGTCTCTGTGCGATGGATTCGCAAGTAACTGAGCAGGCCGATGCAAGAGGTGAATGTGCGTGGACAGTGTCGGCATGAGAGGTCGAGGTTGTCGGTGTCAGCTGCAGAGGAGGCGGTGGTTGCGGTGGTGGTGGTGGTGGTGGTGGTGGTGGTGGTGATGGTGATGTGCGCTCAGGCCGAAGGATCGACGGTAGGACTGGGCCTAGTGGGCCTGGTGGACGTGATTGGTGTGCCGGAATTGTGGTCAATTCCGCTCTCGTGGATGCGCATGTGGCCGAATAGACCCATGCGATGCGTGAAGGTGCGAGGGCAGTGTGGGCAGTGGAGGCGAGTGCGGTGGGTGTAGGTTGGTGCTCCAGGCACTGGTTCGCCAGTCTCCGTGCGATAGATTCGCAAGGGACCGATCAGGCCAATGTGTGAGGTGAAGGTGCGGTCGCAGTGAGGGCAGGTAAAGTCCTGATCCTCATCGCTGGGGTCGGAGGTAGTGGTGGTGGTGTCGGAGGTTGTGTCAGGGTTGGTGATGTGCGAGATGGTCGGGTGAGCGGCCGTCGTTGCAGCAGTGGAGGAGGAGGAGGAGGGGGAGGAGGAGGAGGAGGAGGAGGAGGAGGATGAGGAGGAGCAAGAGGAGAAGGAGGAGGAGGGGGATGACAACGAGAACGAGGAGGAGTAGTTGGTGGAGGGGGAGGAGGATGGAAGTGGTGGTGCAGAAGAATTATCAGAGCAATTTGACGGCGGAGAGAAGGAAGAAGAAGCGGGCGGGGTACGAAGTTTTGTGCAGTTTGAGAGGCGCAGTTGATCCGTAGATGTCGAACAAGTCCGATTCGAGCCCGGAATGTCCGTTGACATCGAGGACACGTTAGTAGCGGTTGTGCGTCGCAGTTGCGTAATGGGCGAATTTGTGATTTGCGGGCTTAGCGTTTCGCTTTGGCGACAGCGATGCGGATGGATTCGTTGATCGCAGCGCCTGTCTTCACTGTCCTCCTCCAGGTCGGTCGGTAGAGGGTGAGTTTTTCCCAGTTGGTCGGGTTGATTTGAGGGCGCTTCAGGGTGGACTTCAGAGTATCGTTGTATCAAAGAATTTGACCATCTTGGCGGCGAGAACCCGTCGCAACGTCTCCGTAGAAGAGTCGTTTGGGTAGTCGCTCGTCGTCCATGCGCACCAGATGGCCGCTCCAGCGCAGCTGCATTTTTCTCCGCACGACGTAGATGCCGAGGATTCCCGTCCGTTCCAGCACATCTGTGTCGGGGGTGTGGTCCTGCCAATTCAGCCTCAGGATGCGACGGAGACAACTGAGTTGGAAGTGGTTCAGTCGGTGTGCCTGCTTCGTGTTCACCGTCCAAGTCTCCGCTCCATACAGAAGCGTCGGCAGATAACGGCCTTGTACATCTTTAGCCTCGTGCTCAGTTGGAGGACATGACGATTCCAAACTGTGCTTTTGAGGAGACTGAAGGCTTGACTGGCTTACGAGATCCTGTTGGCGACTTCGTCATCGATCTTGGTGTTGCGGGAGAGGGTGCTGTCCAAGTACGGGAAGTCCTCCACCATTTGCAATTGGGTTTCGTTGACGCTGATTTGCAGCGACGCGTTGTGGGCTGTGGCTGTGTTGGGTGGCGGTTGATGCATCACCACCGTCTTCTGCGTGTTAATGACCAGCCCAACGTTCTCGTAGGCGGCGGAGAACAGGTCCATGCTCCGTGGTATCTCCACTTCCGATGTGGTGTACAGGGCGTAGTCGTCGGCGATGAGAAGTTCGTGAACGGTGGTTGTGGATACGCGCGATTGGAAGTGCATCCGCCGTTGATTCAGCAGGTGACTGTCCGTCCTGTAGGCGATGCGGATCCCGGGGTGCTCATCACGATAGGCGTCCATCAGCATGGCAGAGAACATAAGACTGAAGAGGGTAGGTGCCATCACGCATTCATTCTTCACTCCGTTGGCCACTACGAATGTCTCTGAGACAGATCCGTTGTCCGTGACTCGCGCCATCATACCGTCGTGCAGCTGACGCACCATCTCAATGGATCGCTACGGACAGCCGTAGTTTTGCATGATCACTCATAGTCCTTCACGATTCACCGTGTCGAAGGCTTTCGTCAGTTCCACGTAGGTAGAGGACAGGTGGGTTCGCATCTCCTGGCACTTCTCCTGAAGTTGACGGTCGGCGAAGATCATGTCCGTGGTCACGCGATGACATCGGAGGTCGCATTGGCTTTCCGGTAGGAGGCCCTGTTCCAGATGATTATTCAGACGATTGAGGAGGATGGGAGCGAAGATCTTCCCGGCAACGTTCAGCAAGGAGATGCCGCGTAATTGTCGCAGACTTGGTGATTCCCTTTTTGATTGTAGAGATGCACGATGGTTGCGTCTTTGAAGTCTTGCGGGACTTCGCCTTGACGCCACAGCTCCTGGAAGATCGCATTCAGGTGGTCCATTAGTAGGGGACCTTCGTGCTTGTAGACCTTAGCAGGGATTGCGTCCGATCCGGGTGCTTTCCCGCTGGAGAGCTGCTGCACGCCCCTGATGGTTTCCTGGAGAGATGGCGGGAGGTCGAGGACCACGTTGGTCTCCACTTGCGGCAAACGCTCGATGGCGGCGTTGGAGATAACGGAGGGGCGGTTGAGGATGCCTCGGAAATGCTCGCCCATCGCTGTAGGATTTGCGTCTTCTCAGTCAGGAGAGTGCTGCCGTCGGCGCTGGGGAGAGGAGCAGTGCAGTTCGTCGGCGGACCGTAGACAGCTTTGATCGCAGAGAAGAAGTTCTTCCATTCGTTGCGGTCCCCGTAGCCTTGAATCTCATCAGATTTGCGAGCAGTCCAGGCATCCTGCATCCCGCGCAGTCATTGCTGAAGCTGGCGGCGTCTGAGGGAGAAAGCAGCTTTGTTGTCATCAGTGGGGTGGCCTACGTAGGCTTTGTGTAGGCGGTTCTTCTCAGCAAGCAGATTTCTGATGGCGGCGTCGTTGTCGTCGAACCAGTCCTGCTGTTGGCGGGGAGCGAGACCGAGGACGGTGAGCGTCGTCGCGTGGACCGTGTCTCGTAGTTGACACCAGCGGTTTTCCAAGGAGATGTTCTCTGCAATGGTGGCCTCTTCGTCGGCTGCATCGGTGATGGGAATTTTGTCTAGCCGTTGAGCTTGCTCATTGCTGAAATGAATATTGTGAGCGGGCAAAGACAACAAGGCAACATTCAGCTTACCTGGGGTTCGCTTACCTTGTGGTCTCCTGCGAGGCTGTATGCGAATACGCATCTTCGAGATGACGAGGCGATTGTCGGTCCACCCATCAGCACCCGCGATCGCCTTTGTCACCAGCACGTCCCGCTGGCCACGCCTTCGGACGAGAACATAGTCCAGCAGGTGCCACCGACGGGACCGAGGATGCCTCCAGGTGGCCTTCTCTCGCTCCGACAGACAGAAAAAGGTCTTCGTCAGAATGAGGCAGTGTTCTGAGCAGGTGCGGTGCAGCAGCAGACCATTGTCGTTGGAGCCGCGGAGACCGTGGGGACCCAGCACTCCTCTCTAGGCAGTATGGTCTGTGCCGACGCGGGTGTTGAAGTCGCCAAAGACAATCAACTTGTCCGCCTTCGAAACAGTCGCCAAGAGGGCGTGCAGGTCCTCGTAGAATTTGTCCCTTGCGGCGGCGTCGGGGCAGCTCATCGGCGGAGCGTAGGCGCTGATGATGGTGGCGAACTTGCCTCCTCGCCGGAGAGGCAGACGGAGGCTCATCAGGCGATCGTTGATTCCCTGCGGCAGACTGGGCAGTCGTCCCACGATGTCGTTCCGGATGGCGAGGACGACACCCGCGTCTCGTCGCTCTGCCCTGGGTCGGCCACTCCAGAAGAAGGTGTAGCCGGCCCTAGCCACCTCCAGTTGGCCTTGTTCGGAGAATCGGGTCTCGCTGAGTGCGGCGATGTCCACCTTGTGGCGCGTCAGTTCTCGTGCCACTAGCGCCGTCCTCCGTTCCGGTCGGTTGCTCCTTGGATTGTCTAAAAGGGAATGAACATTCCAGGCTGCCAGAGTGAGCGGACTCACCCTGCCAGTCTGTCGGCGATTTCGTCGGATGCAGGAGCCTTTATGCTTCACAAGTTTAAACCAGAGGCCTGTACTTCATAGAAGTTTGTGCAGTTTTCTAGCAGTGCGTTTTGCCCGGTGTTTACCTAACTCTGATCGACAGCACGCTCTACAGCAGACTTAATGTAACAAACAGCAGTTGAAAGACAGCGATTCCACACAACCATCTGGATCACCTGTGGCTACATTTAGCTAAGGTGGAGGACTAGCGTAATTCAGGGCGGCAGTCGCTGTGAGGCTGAAGAGAAGATCGAGTAGGGAGTGCGTCATCCTCTTTTTTTACGGGAATCGATGTCCCACCCTGATAGTACGCAACACGAGCGCGCCTGCTATCTGCACATACGAAACCCCACCCAGCCAGCTCCCTCCCTCCCTCCGCATTGGATCAGCAGATTTAAGTACAAATCGTTGCACCTAGAGTGGCGTGATCTGCTCGCATCTGTCACTTGGTTTGTGAATATTGATGACAGGAACCCTAATGCAATGAGTGCAGCATTTGTAATACGTAATACAGAGCTGCAGGTTTGCAACCAGCTTGCGGGGTATTTACCTAACTCGTCAGTGTTGTGCCACACCTGACGGTATTACCACTGTGTAGTCTTGAATTGCCTATCCGCCACAACAGATATCCCCTTCAGTTTACAGAATATATTTCCTAAAGTCTCAGTTATTCACCTCGATCGAACTGTATAACCTCGGTGCCACGGTGTGACTGAAACCCACGACAGCAAGCGTTTTACTATGTCAAGTAATCCATATCTCCTTATTTTGACTGGCAATACGAGCCTATTGCAGCTTGACCGACTGTTGTCGATATTGCCGTATTAAACGCAAGTACACAAACGAGTCATTTTGATACGCATATGAAATACTCGGCGCCTCTGTGGTGTATGAACCCACTTCAGCTTTAGGTAGCCTTAGTACAGCCAACGCTCTAGCCCACTGACCTAAAAGGCTCCACCGGACGACGCTACATTAATCGTATCTGCCATAATAGCTATGAATTTCGTGAAACCCTTAGCTATCTGGTGGATTCTATATGTATATATTGGAAAATCCTGCTTAGAATGTCAGCTTACTTTATCAGATTTGGTGGATACCAGACTTTGCAGTAGATCACACGAGTAAAATTGATTAAGATATGATTAAACTCGCGTCGTCCGGTGGGGCCTCGTATCTTAGGTGGCTAGAGCGTTGGCCGTACTAAAGCCTCTCTTTGCTGTTGTGGGTTCGAATACCACCAGTTAGGCTTAGTAGCAACTTCGGAGAATGAAACCACTTATTTTTCAGAAGTAGAGCATTCTTAACGGTGTCATTTTGATGTGAGGAGATTCGCTCGATCGCTGGAGCGAGAATAATGTTAACATGAGTTTCCCGATCCCTTTTCGATTAAGGAAGGCAACAGATTGAAGTTGGGGACGTACAGATGGTGAAAGTTTTATAAGCTGCAATTCCTATGCTATCATGCGCATGCTTATAATGATAACGACCGCATTCACTTCAGCTTTTCGTAATGCGTTTGATGATTTCCCGAGTACATATGTTTAAATTGTGACTGTTCACGAATTAGCCGTTTTTTAAATACTAACATCATCCTTGGTTCTAAAAACTGACTTTGGCGATTCTATGACTTTGGAAACGGGAATTTTTGTTAGAAATGAGGTTTTCCTGGCAGGCTAAAGTCGACATAATGTTGAAATTTGCTGATTGCCCTTTCCAATCAATGCCACTCAGACGCTCAGACTGTGTCTATATTAAAACAGTGTAGGATTTTAATAAAAACAGTTTGTTTATTTAATGCACATTCCGCTACGACGAATTTTAACGTAGGTAAATCCACTCCTTACGGAGCGCGTCGAATTAATTCTAAAATCCCACTTGGTTTACTGTCCTGGATTACGCATATCTAATTTATGCGAATACATCAACACGGACAGTTGAAAAAATGAAACCATTACGTAGCTTAGGGATTCGCATTGCATGTGATCTTTCAGTGAATTTGCAATTGACTGGACATCTTGCACCTACGTTCGGTGAAACAGTCCTGTAGATTGTCGAATCCGCACTAATTTAACTTGGGACTGGCTGTTTCGATGTTAATCGCAATCCCACGGCATTTGTTTCACATTGAATGTAAAAAGTCTGCTGACAGCAAAATACAGATATTCACAATGACTGATTAATTATGCGGTTTCTCTTAGGAGCAACTTCGGAGACCGAACCCACATCATTTTCAGAACTGGAGCTTCCTTAACAGTGTTATTTTGCTGTGAGGAAAATCACTCGATCACTAAAACGAAAGTAATGTCCACTTGAAGTTTCAAGTTCATTTTCGAACAAAGACAACAACAAATTGAAGTTGTGAAGAAACAGAGGGTGAAATATGCATGGGCTGAAATTCCTCTAATACGGCACGCATATTCTTAATAATAACGTCTGCACTCCTGCAAATATTCGCACTTCGTCTGATGATCTGTCGAGTAGATATGTCCAAAGTGTGACTGATGGCGATCTTCCTATGTTTTAAGTAATAACACAGCCTTTTGTTTTTATAACCGAGTCTGGCATTTCTGACATCCGTAACTGACATTTTTGATGGAAATTTGGATACCTAGCAAGGAAAACCTCCACGTATGTCTGAAAGTCGGACAAAATGTTGACATTTCCTGAGTGCACGTTTCCAATTAACGCCAGACAAACCCCGGTCTAGCCAGCGTGTTTTTCTAGCGCATCTGCTGCGTGAGCGGTTTTAGGGACACTGCCATTGTCCAGTGACGTACACACGCAACAATTGCGCATCACGCCACTGACTACCTGCTGCCAAGGTCATCTAGGGGCGATTCTACTCGCATTCAGCGCTCGGCCATCTGGCGAAATCTACGTGCACGGACTGCGATCGATGCATTGTTCGGTGACGCACACACGCAACGACTGCGCACGCCACTGACTACCTGCTGCCAAGGTCATCTAGGGGCGCATCTACTCGCATTCAGCTTTCGGCCATCTAGTGAAATCTGCCAGCTGCGTCATCCATCGAGCACGATCGATTTTCTCTCGGCAGGCTCGCAGGCCGCCTCACTGTCCAGGGGCCAGCAACTCGAGATGCGCCCCTGATAACTGACTGTCCAGCAGGTTCGCAACATGAAGCAGGGCCTTCCCACGTAGTTAGTGCCGATTCAGTTAATCGTATCTCTGGTTACATCCAAATCACTAACCTGGGTTATATTTGAACATGCGTTATGTTAAATACCCTTGACATCACTCATGTGAGCTCGTCGTGCTTGGTGAAATCTTTGCTAAGCATAAATCCCGAGACAGTCCAACCTTTTAATCTTTTTAGATGAAGAAAAGGATCAATTTATGCTACGGAGACGGACAGCGTACATGCCTCAGTAAATAGTACGTTTGCCATTTATATTAACACACAAGCTCCCCGATCTGCGATCTTACTGGTGTTGCTCACTTCGTCAGCAAGTGGGCATCTCTTTGCTAAACTAACCTCGACCACATCTCTCATTCCTCGCAGAGATATGCTAGAGATTATTTTGTCACCCCAAGTGTTGGACACTTTACACCCTTTTGGTGTTTTTTTTAACAAAAAAATTGGAGGCCATGTTTATTAACCCCGCTGGGGACACCTGACAGTGAGAACATCTCCACCACTAAATCTAATTCGTCTCCAGTATCATATCGGCTGGCGACAATGATTTCTCTCCATAATCAAGCATTAATCCCGAAAACGAGCATCTCCCTCGTAAAAAATAACTGGTTCCTGCATTTCATTCCCTTCAGAGATAATCACGCCATTAATCGGTTGCCTTAGGTGTTGCGCACTGCACACCCTTTTGACGTTTTCAAAAACAACGACAAAACAGCTTACATTGCAAGTCGTTTATTTCTTAACATGTGGGCCATAGAAGGAACATCAAGAAATGCAGAAGTTTACATGCGAATGCTTGCAGCTCCAGCGATCTTTTCAAGCGTCTCCAGCGGTTTCTTCGACGACCAACTCCAAGATGTCAAGTCGTTGCTGACATCAGCTGGCCCGCCTGGTGCTGTGAAAGTCTCCACCGTGTTTCCTGATCCATTCCAGCAGCCTGCAAATTGTGAATAATTCCAGTAAAATTCTACTTTCATAAATATCAAAATAGACAAAATTAACGTACGATTTGCACAATACCGCTAGACAAAAATGTATTTCAATAAAACGCAGAGTAGACTGAGTAAGCTTTGAACGCAGTATCTACTGAAGACGCTTTAACCAGTCGGCTGCATAAAATCTATTTTTAGAAGCAGGCGATTTGCACTACAAACGGACTACCATCGGCCCTAACCTCGTTGTGTTTACGAAACGCCAGGCAAAGTCACGTTTACACATGGTTGCCATCACTAGGGATGTCTCAATCTTCCTCATAAAAAGGGATTACACAGAAAAGGCCATGGAATGGCATGAAAGAGAGAGGAGAGTGGAGAAGGAATGCAGTCAATGTAGAGCAAAGGAGGAAGAGGCGTCATTACCGAGAGCAAAGATGGCGTCGTCGGTGGAGGTGAGAAGAGCGAAATACTCGCGGGGTTCCTTCATGCCGGCCAGTTCTGACCACTGGCCCTGGGGACACCTGGCATCTGGTGGTGTGAACATCTCCACCACGTTTAGATCTTTTTTACCATCATATCCCCCGGCGACAATGATTTTCCCCCGAAAGTGTGTCGCTGCCAGCCCCCATCGTGCAGTTCTCATGGGTGCGGCTGGCTGCCAAAAGTCCGACGAGGTCGCCCTCTCTCGCCAGTCTGCTCGCAGGTGGCAGAACTCCACAGAAGCCAGCCGGGAGGAGCCATTATAGCCGCCAAAAACGAAGATTCGACTGTCGCCGGGCAGGCAGGCAGCCGCCGTGGAGTTCCTCTTCTCTCGCAGATCGGGCAGTTTGAACCACCTGTGTGTTGGGGAGGAGGAGGAGACGACGAGTGAGAAGGCAAAACAGGAAGATTTTGCAAGAAAAAAAGGAGGCGCCAGGACGAGTGTGCTCTCACCTGTCCCGACCGACTTCATAGACTTCACAAGAGGAGAGGTATCCACCGTTACCGTATCCACCGAAAACGCCGATAAGCGTCTCCCCTCCGGCTTCCGTCAGGACTGCGGCTGCGTGCCCGACGCGTCCAACGTCGAGGGACGCCCGTTTGCGCCAGCGCCGTTCTGCCACCAGAAACTCCTCGACACTCGTGGAGTTTCCTATTCCTCCAACCATGAAAATGCTCTCTTCCGTGGGGGTGGGGTGGGATAGAAAAAAGTTTCATAAAATTGAGCGGAACAAAGATAAAGTGGAAAGATAAAAGAAGGCAGGGAAGATAAAATAAAAAAGGCGTGTAGTTGACAGAAAGAGGGGAAATATCATCGTCGGACAAACAGACGTGGATGGACAAATCTCCCAGTTCAGTAGCCGCCAGTGACGGACACAAACCACGCAGGTGGAGACATGGTTGGGTAAATTAAAGACGGAAAACAGCAAACGCGTCGGGGGCAGGCCAGACAAATGGACAACTCCGAGACCTCAAAACCCCTTAATTACTACAACTACTACCACAATCCTATGCATTGTGTGGCGATGGCAGCTGTACTGGCAGGACTGTGTGTGTGTTTGTTATAATTCCGGCAAAAAGAGACACCAACTGGTCAAATTAGACAAAGAGGAAAACAAGGCAGGTGCGCAGAAGAGGAGGTGCGTAACTGTCAGGCAACTCACCGCCCACGAGACTGTAGGTGGCGTATTCTCGCTTCTCCATGTCGGCAATCCTCTCTTCCTTTTCGAGGTGCGGATCAAAACGCAGAACAGACCACCTGTCCTGATCTTTGTCCTTTCCAAATACGAAGATCGTCTGAGGCGGTCTCCGACGTCGGTTGAAGGGACACGGAGGCTTGTTCTTGTCTGCGTAGGTCATCCACTGTTCCACCTGAGCCATAAGGCGACTTTCATTAGAAAATAAATGACGAACTGTAACAGCATATACTTACACACAGCTATTTCCTTCCCGGAACATTGGATGACTATTGAGTAAGCGACTTCGGAATTGGACAGTCGTCTGACACCAACGAACCTCCTTTAGCATTTCCGGGGCGTGCAATCTCAGTCTCTCATTATCGCACTCCCTATCGCCGGCAGCCACCCAGCTTGAAATCGCCTCAAAAACTGCCTCTTCGGAATCCACTGACAGATTGTCGTTTCGCAACAACGTCAGCACGGTGTCAGCTGGCAGACGAATAAAGAGGTCAGTAGAGACGAAATTCGTAAACTGCGCTTGCATCAGATTGATGCAAGTCTCCATCAGTGAGCCCATGCGCATAGATTTGGCAAAGTCCCATGTGCTTGCCAGATTTTCTAAATTCACTCTTTACAGCCGACAGTTAGACAGAAAGAACCGGCACTTGCTTACCTATTGGTCATGAATTGCACTCCCCAATTCTCCAGATTAGACAGTTTCATCATTTTGGCAAACATCACTATGCCCATCGCATTCGTTTGGGTTACCTCCAACTGCCCGGTGTACACATACTGGAGGAGTGAATTTGCGAGGCTAGAAAGTGCAAAAGCAAAATCAGAGAAAGGAGGATGATTTTACTTCAGAGGCACCGTCGGCCATTTGAGCACCGAATTATCCTTCCCGAGGGCGCCACTGAGAGCAGCTCGCAATGACGGAATGCGAGCTGCTAGTATTATTCGATGGGCATTGAGAATAGCGCCGTGCTTCACCTAACAAGCATGAACAAATTGCCGTGTAAAGAACGGTAACAGGAAGGAGAGGTACCTCTATGGTGAGGTCTTTGAATTCTCCCGAAGTGCGAATCTCGTTGAGGGCTGGACAGCTACGAACCAGGGGAAATGCGTCTTTGAATACTTCGACGTCTGCGAGTGCCATTGCGAGTGATAACCAGATCAGGAGCGACGAATGATCGCGGGTGCCATTAGCACTGCCTCTTATAGTGCCAGCACACTTTGAACCCGCCCGCACGCACTCATGACCTTCAGGTCCTGATTGGCCGATTTCAAAGTGCGGATTCGATTGGGCGATAGTCGGCACAGTTATGTGGTGTAATGCCTTGGCGAGAACCCCCGAGTTATTTTTATTGGTCAGGGCTACGTGGGCTAGACACCGCCGACGGCGCACTTTCAAAGCCAAATGGACTGACATGTAACTTGCTAATGAGGACACCGTCTGCGAAAATTCGAATAATTGCCACTGGGTTTTGGTACGTTTTGTGCTGATAAAGAACACTCGTGAAAACCACATGGTCGTCCGGCTAAACACACGTACAGTTTAGGTGCATCGCTTAGCAGTAAAAACTACTGATCTGGTGCGGAGGGAAGGGTGGCTGGGTGGGCTTTCGTATGTCTATGCGAAAAGACAAGCAAATAAAATAGTTCACGCAGAATAATTTTAAAGACAGTCCATTAGTAACGTTCGCAAATAAATACCCAAAGAGAATACGTAACGTCAACTACGACATTTACCTACAGTACGTGACCTATCTCGTGAAACCTGATCACGGGAACTTATGTGACAACTTTTGGACGTCTTAAAAGTTGCGCATTTTGCTTGCATATTCGGCCCCTTCAATTAAATGTCCTTTTCTTGTGCAGAAATTGTGTTTACACAATTATATCCAGCAAAATATTAACTATTATTTTTTTTTAGAAAAAATGAACATTGCAATACATTCGTGCCATTTCATATGCTAATATCTGTCCTAGACTTCGGTTGTGCATTTGAGCGTGTTTCACATTAAAAGGAGACTAATTGACTCGCGGGAGTTTTAATAAGCAGAGGTTTGCGGACTCGAGAATTTGTTTTATGTCCGATCCTAACCGTGGTAATCAATTTGCTCACACAAAGGTCATTTTAAAAGAACCAAATATTTTAACCATTTTTAAAAGGTCATATTAGCAGGTCAGTGCGACTTGGTGCCCTGAAGTGCAGTAATAACGCAGACAGGGATTCCTTCGTTTAAATGGGCTGACATTGTTTTGCCGTTTAGAGGATTTAACGTTATGTCACAGAAATGACCACTACCAAATGGCCAATTCGAGTCTTGAAGATAAGAAACATTCCTCGAAGAACGGAGTCTAAACGCGAGCAAAAACAATGAAAATGGCCGCAATATATAGAGAAAGATATAGTCTTGCGTTTACGGAAGAAATATACCAGTATGGTTTTGGAAGGTGAAAGAAACGGCCAAAATTGTCATATTTTTTTCTTGGCCTCACCGTGCAAAAGTTCAAAGTACACAGAGATCCGTCAACGGAGTGCAGTAAGAAAGCACTTCCTAAAGAGGTAACTTATTAGAGAGGGTTTTCAAATTGTGATTGAAAGCCTATTTGTTACTGACTTTCGTTGTGGACAGCTATTCTATTCCACAATGAAGTTTCATGCTTGAGTGAGTCTTCAAATTCGACTCAAACGACCTTCTTCATGAAAAAGAACGTCCAAACACTCGCTACTTCGATAAATGCCTTATTTAAAAGTTTAACAGAAACATGTTACAGAATCTTTCTTTATGGGCGATCGGATGACAATACTGAAAATCAGCAACGTTATCCTGAAAAGACTAAAATTAAACGTTGATTTAACGCAAGAAAAAGTGTTATTTATAAATACAAAATAATATAGGCTGTATGTTATTACAGACAAAGACAGGGAGGACTGGAATGGCAATTTCTGGCTTATTAGCCGTCGTCAGTCAGTCATACCCAATCCCGAAGCGTGGAACACGCGAGGCTCGAACTCGCGACCTGTCAGATGTACACGCCTCTAACCACTCGGCCACGAGCCCAAGAGTCGAAGACAATCGACTACTGTAGAATAACCACGTAATGCCAATTCAACAAACGAGTACTCCCACAAGTAGTATGAAATGTATGCATCAAAGATACCATACCGTACTCCGGACACATGTACTAACTAAAAGCCCAGACATGTGTTTCGCCGATACTCTGCCTCTGCGTGACACAGCTACGAGGGGTTGGGCCCTTGAGTATGACTGGCAAACGACAGCTTATACGCCAGAAATGGCCATTTCAGTCTCCCTTGTCTTTGTCGGTAATAACATACTGCCTATATCATGCGCCGCTGTGCGGCTGCTGGTTGGGTTCGAGAGAGAGCCCGTAAGGCACGACGGAACGAGTGAGTTCCGTAAGAACGATCGGTGAGCGCCCCCTACCAAAAAATACAGTTAGTGACCTAACGCATGAAATGTGTCGAAATTTACGAATGATTGCTAATCACTCACAAACCGACACCATTTCACGAGTCCGATTTCTATGTTAATTAACTACAAGTTTAAAAGCAGTAAAAACCCATAAGAATTGTTAAAGACAGTGTTGCGTTATTTAGAAATTCCGATTTATTTTGAAAAGCGCAATATCCCGAAAACGTCATAAATGGCTCTATTTTAGTAAACGTCGTTTTTAGATGTACCGAATGTATTAACATACCAAAAACGTAGTAAATATGAAAGTAGACATAAAATAACGTCTAATAACAGTGTTTTAGTGAAGTTAACATCTAAATATTGTTTAATGAGTAGTGTGATTTCATATATGACGGTGTGTCAACTGCCTACATTCTGAGTGCAGACTCCAAAACAGTTTTCCAGTGAGTCCTCCTTCATTTTATTTGTTTAAAGTAAATAAGATGGGGTTCAACAAGAGAAGCTGGATTTTGCTTGATTTCACCGATGGGGACGTCGTAGGAACAAAAGTTTTCATAAGGTGACATGCCACGAGACCGGTCGGTGCCTTATAAATTTAAATAGAACTGACAGGCGTGATCGTAAACGTGCCATTTTGAGTTAATAGAGATGAATATTCTTCCGTTAAATTAATTTACACTTCTCTTTCGGTTTGGATAACGTTGAGTTTCAAATCGGCCTCGAAATGTTGCTGAATACTTAGTGATTTTCAGTGTTTTCACCCGATCGTCCATAAAGGCAGATTCTGAATTGCCTGTCTGTTGAGAAGGCATTTAGCGAATTAGTGAGTATTGGGGCGCTCCTTTTCACGAAGATGGTCGTTTGGGTCACATTTGAAGACTCGTTCAAACATACAACTTCATTTTCGAGAAAAATGTCTGTCCACAACGAAAGTCAGCAACGAATATGCCTTTGATCAATGAAAAAGCTTCCGGTAGTAAGTTACCTCTTTAAGAAGTGCTTTCTTACTGCACTCCGTTGATGGAGTTGATAAAACATCTGGTT